TTTGCATGTCTACTAATGCCATAGATGCATATGCTAACTCTAAGAGCAACACATCACCGTGTCCAAGTCTAGCTGACTGGCTCCATGTGAAAACACCTCTTAAATTTCACTACAGTGGTACTTTGGTTCTCAAACACCTCGGTATTCAAACAATTGGAATCCAAACACTGCAAACCTGTAAGTAAGTATTCTGGTTTGCGAACTTCTTTTGGAAGCTGGACGTGCTCCACTTTGAGTGTTTGCTTCCGATTTGAGTGTTACGCTGAGGTCTGTCTGTTTTTGCTATTTATTTTGCGTTTTTGTTTTTGCGGCTTTTTTCATTTTGTTTTTGTGACTGTGTGGAACCCAGTTCAGCTACTGATTGCTTGGTTGTGTGACTGCAGTACATTGTTTATTGCTTTCATTTTATAGATAGTAAAATTCATGTTAAATTGCTATTTAAGGGGTTGTTTTTAAAAGTCTGGAACAGATTAATCCATTTTGCATTACTTTCTATGGGAAAGCGTGCCTTGGTTTTGGAATGCTTTGGTTTTGGAACAGAATTCCGGAACGGATTAAGTTTGCGAACCAAGGTACCACTGTATTTTGTAACATCAGTGACTCCTCTGAATGCTTGCAAATTGTGAGTATGCAGTTGTCTGCACAATGCATGAAAATCAAGCTACACTATAGCATGTAACAGGTGAATTATCTATTCAGCTTCATGCAGCACAGTGCAACTAAGAACATGGCTGAATGAATAGCTACACTCATATTTCTTTACTGAAAAATTTTCATCTGAGAAAGCACATGGGGACAGAAGTAAACATGCAAAGATCATGGGGAATACAGTTTATTATTAAAAACTGGGAAAAATGCCCCTAACAGTGATTTGGGCTCAGATTAGTGTAACAACATTAGGGGAATTGCTTGCATTAATATTTTGGTTACTAGGGTGATACAGCATGGAAGAAAAGCATCCTAATTTTATAACCCATAGCAGCCTTTTTAAACTGCAGAACACCAGCTGCTACGACTCCCTTCTCATGTTCATTCAAAATTATATATCTTAGGTTTCCCCATAAATAAGTCTAGCAGGTAGATTTCTATCCTCTTAAACTCTGCTAAGCCTAATGTCCCTAGAATGTAAAGCAAATAGTGGGCCAAGGCAGCAGACCTCGTTTTTTCAATCTAAAACATGAAGCTGTCAGTAAGATGTGCAGATGGGGCAGCATGGCCTACACTCCAGTCACCTATGAAAGACAAGAAGACAGCTCTAGTGAACTATAAGACATGAAGCATACGCGCATGAAAGAAAAGATCTCGAAGGTGATGGAGTTGATTATTGTGGAATGTACGCCAGTAAGCTGTGACAAACATGAAGAAGATGGCTGAGTTTCCACATTCTAGTTACATTTAGTGAACACAATCAAAATTGGTGTACAATAGCGGATTGCCAACATTTGTATTACACAAATATTATTGGCTTCTTTGGCATGAAGGAAGAGATCATATTGTTTTCAATGGATTGGAGCCAGATTCTGTAAGCTGTACTTAGTTCCTGTCAAAATAACTGATTAACTTAATTGTATTGATTAAGTACAACTAACTTAGTCTTCAGTCCTGTACCTACTTATCTGGCTACTTCTTCATATACGTGTATAGGATTACACTGCAGTTGTGGAAAAAGCCTATTATTTTTATTTCAAAACTATGCTGTCTAATTAACAAAACTGCTATTCCAGATTCATTTCACATTTTTCCTGCAGACACAAACATAAGCTTTTATGCATAAGTATATGATCAGTTGGGGGAAATGTGCTTGCCTCCTCTTCTTCATTTTTTTTACTCCAAACCTCTGACATTCTTAAAAGGTAAAGGGACCCTTGACCATAAGTCCAGTCACGGATGACTCTGGTGTTGCGGCGCTCATCTCGCATTACTGGCCAAGGGAGCCGGCGTTTGTCTGCAGACATCTTCTGGGTCATGTGGCCATCATGACTAAGCTGCTTCTGGTGAACCAGAGCTGCGCATGGAAACACCATTTACCTTCCTGCTAGAGCGGTACCTATTTATCTACTTGCACTTTGAGGTGCTTTCGAACTGCTAGGTTGACAGGAGCAGGGACTGAGCAACAGGAGCTCACCCCATCAAGGGGATTCAAACCGCCAACCTTCTGATCAGCAAGCCCTAGGCTCTGTGGTTTAACCCACAGCACCACCCCCTGACATTTTTAGTGGCCTTTTTATAGTTCTGCAGTGACCATACATGATAAATTCTAAATTATGGAATCAGGGATCTGTCTTTTGATTGTTACTCTATAAAGCACTGTGTATGCTGATTTTACTATGGAAATAACATTAATGGCTGCACGGAAGTTTTCATCAAGCACAACGGCAAAAGCCAAAAGTTGCTGACTGTGGACCTCCTGCTGTCTCAACAAAGAAGCTTTTACGATTACTGGTTCATATTATATATGTGATGTGTTCTAGTGTGCACTTTCTGCCTATTTTGCACAAGTCAATCTCTTACACACATGCCCAGGGGTGGGGGATCCCAGACATGAAACTTCCTATGTCAGCACAGGCAGTTCTACTTGCGGTTCACTGATCTCTGAAGCTACTGCTTTGCTTATTCAGCCCCTCCCCCGCCATAGCTACTCCACTGTTGGGAAAGTAGGACACTTACACCTCCCTTTTGCTAATAGGGTGTCATGTGTTGAGGGTGTTTGGGAAGCCATCCACACACTACTATGATCACAAATGTCTGCTAAGGGCACCAAAGGTTAACCATGGTAGAGCAGTGTTGACAAATAGCTTTATTAGTCACAGTGTCCTGACTCCTCCTGCTTCTTTTAGAGCTTTTCTTTTATTTATGTGGCTTTCCTATGTTGTTTGAAGTTACTACGGCAACCTGTCACCATCTGGTGTTGTAAAGTATGATGAGATTTTGGTTGCTAGGTGCTGAAGTTTGCCATCTCTTTTTGTGGAGCCCTGTGGTATTTTCCCTCCCTGCCCCCTGCCAGTCTATCAAAATTACATATCAAACTCTTAGGGATCATGATATATTAATTTAGCCATCTATTTGTATAGTTTACCAAGGTATGTTCCTCCTTCTGATAAGGATAAGTTGTCACTTCTATTTATTTTATTTTAAATTCTACACAGTACAATATTACATTTCTGTAGCCGACGCTTCACAGTATTATGCATTAAGGCCACTCAGTTCTTTATTACATTTTTTTCAGAGTCTAATGAATCATTTTATCATAATTTTTTTGCTGTCAGAGGACTTTCAACATTTACTAGGAGAGTATCTCATTTTCCTTTGACATCTAGTTTCATCTTTTTTATTGTGCTAATAGATATAAATTCAGTAACACCCACCTTGTCATTATTTCCTCACCAGGCTAAAAAGTGTCTGTATTTCATTTTTTCAAATATTGTCAGCCAATTTCCTTAATGGACGTTGTTTTGCTTAGAGTTTATGGTCACAGTCAGATGGTGAGACATTGCTGTGCACGCAGCCATGAAATTTATGCACATTATTGATTGCTTCTATTGGAAATAGCATTGTGTCTTCCAAACAGACTTATTCCTCTTAACATTCTGTTAAGTGCTCCCTCATCAGTCAAGTGTTTGCTGTGATTACACTTATTTTTACACATGTTTGACCTAGTTTCAATCATGCATATCAGCGCAGTGATTCATCATTAGACACATTTTTAACAAGGCTAAGTGTAGCTGAAATGACATGTCAGGATTCCACTTGAACAACTTCATTGCCTTGGCTCCTAGTTATTTATTCATTATGCTTATTGGTATCAACAGTCTCATTTCTCTGTCTAAAAACACAACATGGTGCACATCACAATTGGTTATTGGCTGTGTTTGCACAAAGTGCCTTTATCTTCAGTTATAAGCACTGATGACAAAAAGAAAAGGGTTCTCTGGTGAGGGAGGGGGCAGTTTACTACAGTGTACAAAAGCATCCAATGAGCCCAATCTTGAGTCTGTTGTTCTTGCACAAGGTAGATTTGCTTACATCTATTTCCTAGTTTCGCTGTTTGAATTGTACAGTCCTGAAGCATGCTCAAGTTTTGATGTTTTGGAAAATATATTTCAGAGATTCTGGGTAACTTGGAAACAAGCCTTTCTACCTGGAAATCTGGGCTCATGCAGTTCCTTGATTGGATGCTGTTCAGCTGATTAGGGGTAGATTTCAGAACTAAATGGGAGACGGTTAATTGTAATATTAAGAATCTCTCAAACAGGGAAGCAAATTGAGGGTCGGTTGATTATAAAGTTACTGTACAGGCATGGCATAATAAAGTAAGACTTTTCAGCAGCAAACTTACTAGAATCTGTCCCATCTGTAGTACCCATTGATGACTGATTCAAGTAGCAGAACCATAAATTTAGCCCACTGGTAGCAGAAATGTTTTCATAAAACAAAGCATGTCATCTGTTAGTTCACACTGTTCCCATTTGCAGTTGATAAGTCTATACACACATGCAGGGCTACAGTGAACATATAATGCTACAATCCACAGCTAGCTGCATTTTTAAAAGTTAGATTAACATTTCTAAAATCATTTTGATTCAGTTGCAAGGTACCTCTGCCTAAAGGCTATTAGTGATGCTGCTTACGCCACAAGAGGTTACTGAAAATCATTTGGGAATGAAGAGAGACATTCAGAACATATTTCACATATTATTAAAGAGATCAAAACTGCACAGCATCCTTGCATATAGAATACTTTCTGGTTTCTACTAGCTCTGATCCCCCACCCTCCACCCCCAAAATCAAAATCAGGACATTTGGATAGCAAAGCTTGTCTCAATGCAATTATAATTTTAGCACGATGTTCTGGGCAGGCAGCTGACATTTTTCATATACACATGCTCTCCAGAACATTTGCTCCCGTAAAAGTAAACTACCATAGCATGAAGACAGAAAACAAAACACAAGCATTTACTATTAGGAAGAGGATCAGTAACAAAAGCCACACGAATCCTTACCTGAAAGATCTGTGATTACCTGCTGGAAATATCTCCTTTTAGACTCCTACAGATAGCCAAAACTCTGAGTAGCACAAATGTTACTCCAAAAGCAGGAATAAGTAATCGTTTATGTTGTAATTTTCACTGTTTATATGCCAGAAGTGTACTGGGTCTGCTCACGTAGGAATAAATAAAAAAAAAGCAGCACCAACTGAACAGAAGCTACCATATGAAAGTAAAAAAGACCTCTAGTGGCTGTAACCTGAAGTTAAAGAGGCTTCTTTCCTTGCTTTAAGTGGTAGACAAAATGGTTGAGTATGTCAAACTGCAGATAGTTTACAGTGATGTGTGACCTTGCTGAATTTGTCACCATAAACAAATCACAGAGTGAAATCAGATTTCTCAGGGTGGCTGTGTATGTGAAATGAACTTCTGACCGAGAAGCTTGAACAATCATTGGAACAAACTGATCTAATAAGTTTGATATGAATCCGATCTGATTGATGGACACATCCAACTTTGGGTTGTATGTGTGCACATGCACAAGCATTGCTTCCTAGCAACAATTCAGAATTATCAACAAACTGCTGGGTTGTTGTTTTTTTTAAAAAAAATATGGCAGCAAGAAACTTTCATAGCATTTTGTATCCATATAGGGATGAAAAGCGCTGGCAGTTTCAGTTCTCCAAGTTTCTCATTTTCCCAATCTTAATTTCAGTTCCCAACATTTTGCAGCAATTTGTGATTTATTTATTTTTAAATCCTCATTAAAATTCATCAGCATTTTAGTGCAATTTTCTCCTGAGAAATACATTTTTATATGTCGTTATGAGTAACATGCACCTTCTTTTGCAGGCAAGTTACCCTAAAGTGGTGCATTTTTGTAAGCTATTTTCATGAATATCTTCATTCTTATGCACTCTTATGCCTAATATAATGGTAATGATATATGCACTTTTCTGAATATTGGTTGGATAACTGCATTGAAAAATTCAGATAATTGTGAATTATGAAGGATAGCTGTATTTTGGTTCACATATAGTTTCAGAAAGAGCAAATTAGATAAATTTGGCCTTAAATGCATACTGATTTGATTTCCCCCTCCATCCCTATAGCCACATTTAGCTGGAAGAAACCTGGAGTTTCTAATAATGCCTTTGGACAGTTCTAAACCCATTAATTAGAGAAGTAAGAAGTCTTGATTTCAGTTCAGCTAACCTGAAAGTTAAATGTGCTTAGGACTGTAGTTCAAAGGATTCCTTTAAAAAGCCAAAACACACATATGAGGCATAATTAGTGTAATAAGCATGTAACACAGGATGTATCAGGAATACAAGCCATATACTTTGGGAATTTGGAAAATACCTCCATAATAGTTGACATACAGAAAATTCATAGAATCTATCAGAGTCCCACGCCCCCACTACATCTGACTTAATTTTCCAAAATGGCTATCAATGGTTTTCCAACAGGTTTTCTGCACAGCAAAACTTAAAATTACTTTCTTTTATTTTTGGTGTTGCCTGGGTTTTTTGCCTGCCAACTTAGCGTCCGTGTTACCCAATCGACAATTCAAAAAGAAAATGCATTTAAAGGAATAACATAAATAGGGATTTTTCTCTGGGGAAATAGTCTTTCCTTCCTATAATTATTGCTCTACAAAATTCTCAATAATTTTAATCTATTTAAGGGATTTTAAGACAATGTTAAATTTATCGGTTTTGGCTGATAGATATGTGTCTGTAGTCAAACACCCCTAGTTTTTCAAGAAGACAACTCATTCCAAGTGGCAGAGATCTTTGTAAATTGCCACTTATGCAGCATAATCAGAAGCACTTCTTCCCTTGCCTGCCATCAGATTTATGATCAACTATGATTTTATATGTCTAACTTCCTAAACATTTTAAGTACATTTTGGCGCCACATAATATAAATGTATTCTTCTGCTTCTTCATGCGGCTGAACCTAAATGTGCTTATCAGTATTGCTAATCTCTTTCTCTTTCCCTTGTAGAGTCATTTTGTGGCTTGCATGACAGCAATCTTGAACCAAATGGATGACCAACATTATGCCTCATATATTGAAACTTTTCGAACAAGCTCAGAGCTAGTGGTAAGTAATCGTGGGTAGGAGGGCAAGTGAGTTTTCCCCCTTTGCACCTTTTAACCTTGTACCTCCCCCAGTTTCCTATCAAAAACATTTTTGTAAAAAAATAAAGAAGAAAAAATAGTAATAGCTGTCACCACACTTACTGCCAGAAAAGTCTTCATTTCCTTATGAAAGGAAAACCAAAACAATCTTTTTAGCAGTATAAGATCATATGACTGAGTAGATCAAGGGAAGAATCAAGACAACAACTTGCAATTAAAGGGGAATTCATTTTATTTAAAGGAAGTGGGAGTTCATATTGCATTGGAACATAAATTAAGGGTTCTGTAAGGTCTTTACTGAAAAGCTGTCATGACACCCAATCTTATTGGATAGTTTCTGGCTAGCCTCCAATTTGTTATTATTGGGCAAGCTGCTTGAACAGGTAGCATTGATGCAACTACAGGTTTTGTTTGGGACTTGGTCACCGTAGTGGATGATCGGTGCTGGGACAAATAGGCAAAGAAGGCATACTTTGCTGAAGCACGTCTTGGCCTTCTGGATTAGTGACTGCTAGGAACCACATGTATACTGCCTTGGCTTCCATGACAAAGGAAATGTGGGTTATAAAGGAAAGAATGCATAACGAATCAATAAATATTTCCTGCTGGACCTCTCATATTATGATCAACTTATTGTAGCCTTCTGGACAGCCAGACTGGGATAGGATAGGCACTGTTTTCCAGTCTTTCTTGGAAGTACTTCTTCACACAGTGGGTAATTAAACTATGGAATTCGCTCACACAAGAGGCAGTGATGGCTACCAACTTGGATAAAGCTATCAGTGGTCAAATGCAGCAATGCTTCTGAATACCAGCTGCTGGAAACGGCAGGAGGGGAGAATGCTCTGGGGCTCAGGTCCTGCTTGCAGATTTCCCATGGGCATCTGGTTGGCCACTGTGAGGTTAGGATGCTGGACTAGGTGGGCCTCTGGCCTGATCCAGCAAGCCCTTCTTATAGATTCAGAGTCTGAATCTATTACCACTTCACACCACCTGATTGAGAGAATAGCATCCCAGTACGTGTTAGCAATTGTAGAGCAGCATTCTCTGTATCAGCCAAAGCTTCCAAGTTAGCTTCAAGGGCAGCATCATGTAAAGAGTTTTCCAGTAATCCAGTTATAGAAGCATAGTTAAATATATTGAAGTCTGACTTGTCTAGGACAGGGAAGGACATTCATATTAGCCAGAGTCTGAAGATAGCACTTGTAACAATTCTGCATCTTAAAAAGTCCCATGTTGTTGTTGCAAAGTACTTTCTAATCAGATAGGATTACAAAGACTTCATCAATCACTGGCAGTTACTCCTTCCAGTGCCATTTCTTTCCAGTTTTACTGCCATCTTGTCTTGACTCAGGTTTGCCATGTTCTTGCTCATTCCCTTGACCATAGCCTCTGAATGCTAGTACCAGACAGAGATAGCTGCTGCTAGACATATATCTTTGAATCTATATCCCAATTAGATTCATCTTTAAAATATCAGCTGGGTTCTGCTGTATTTTAAATCTTTGGGTGGGAGATCAGAAATATATTGATGTCCAGGCTTTTTTTAAAAAAACTTATAACAGTAACGGATATGAAGTATATATTAGTTTACACAAATGCGATGTCTTCAGGGTCTCAGTGTGTATGTTTTAGGTGAAGTATAGGAAATAATATGGATGGACCACTGTGAGGTAACGTAGGTTTACATATTTTCAACTGGTTGCTTATGAACTTGGTGTAAATTGAGAGGAATATGTTCAACTGTGACATTCTCTCTTTTAATCATTTGTATTTATACTTCTATACTAGTGTCATGAAAATTGTCTCTTAAGAGCAGAATACTAGCACTGATTTTGTTTTATGACTTCTGTTCATTGCTGCATTTTATTGCTAGACAGGTACCTCATTTTAGAGCCTTTGGGATAACTGATGATAACTTGAGCATGTGGGAGCAAGATATCACTGTCTGTTTTTCAGAAGTTTGTTATTGTTTTAGTGTAAACGGTATAATCCACAGTGACATTTTCCTCCTCCTAGGACTTTTTGATGGAAACCTTCATAATGTTCAAAGATCTCATTGGAAAAAATGTCTATCCCTTGGACTGGATGGCCATGAGCATGGTGCAGAACAGGTAATCAAAAGCCATAGGGAAGACTTGCAGTATACTAGGCCAAACATAGCCAGCTAGCAATCTCTGGCAGCCCACCAGAACTGAATGAACCTCTGGCTGGGGAAGAAATGGGCGTGGGGGTGCCAGTCATCCACCAGGCCACATGACAGGTTGTTTTCTGTTTGGTGGTCACAAGTTTAGGATAGGTTGAGGGTGAGCAGATTAAAGTGGCCTTCAAAGAGGCTGAGGTGAGAGTGAAATAATTTTAGCAAACACTGCAGGGTGAGGTGGTGGTGTCCACTAACCATACTAAAAGTGGAAGGTGACTGAGTACTCTTTTTACTAACATCTTCAAAAAACGAAATTCATCCTGTGCTGGCACATTGTTCACACCTCTGTCCCAAATGTTCATGGAAGTTTTACTCATATCTGCAAAAGCGGCAGAATAAATGATGCCTCCTTCATAGGATGCAAAGACTTTTGCTAAAGTGGGCAGTGGGGTTTGACACAGCACTAACTCTCTTTATTTTAAATATGAAATGTACATTAAAATCATTGAGAAAACTCAGAAGTTAAAAATAAGTTGGCCTTAAAAAAATTCAAAATATAAATAAAACCAGGATTTTAAAATATACATCATAAAATAAAATTACATATTAAAATACATGTCCACTTTATATATCTGAGTAGGCTTGCCTAAACAAAAATGTTTTTAGCAAACACCAAAAACAGCAAATCTGTGTCGGTATGTGTCTACTCAAGGGATCTGATGTGATACAATGAAATTTGCTGTTTGTAGGAGTCCAGCTGTCCCTCCACCTATGTTCATCTTGCCTATTTGTAAATGAAGTCAAATAGCACAAAACACTTTAAGTGATCCCTCCTTCCAAAGAAAACCGAGCCCTGGAATTTCCATGCTTCTTGGTGATGTTGGACATACATAATCTTGAAAGTTTTAAACGAAGCAAGGCGTGAATAGATAACACAAGGCTAAGATTTTGCTAGCAGTGTGATCCAAACCCACCTAAAATATCAGGGCATCCAGCCTTGATCTTAACATTCAGCTCAGAAGGATCTGGGTTGTGGAGCTATTGTCAGGTGTGGTGGGGGGATGGAAGTTAATGTTATGGATTCTTATTTTAGTACTCTGAATCATCCCCAGTATTTGGAACAGAAACACCACTGCTATGTACTTGTGAAAGACATTTGTACAAAAATATCCACACAGTACCTAATACTTAGGTATAAAACACTGATGTGATGGTTTGTGCACCCAACTTTATGACAGCGTTGTCAAGTGGTTAGGGAGTTTCAAATAAACAAACAATTGACCATTTAGATAACTAATTAAGCATCAACTGTATGCATGTAAATATAAAAGTGCTTGTAATCATAACACATAGGAGGAAATTAGATTAGCACGCTGTTGGAATTATGTAAGTTAGCTATAGCAGATTAGAGACTAACTTGACAGTTTGGTCATTGGCTATGCTTTTTTTTAATTAGCAACCAGCATCTACTAATCAGACCTAGCAGACTCACCCTGAGTCAATCCGTCCTCACCCAAGTTTCCTGGAGTTTCAAATCTACTTGCAGGCTGAATCTCCTCCAGATGCATGTCTCAGTGCAAAATTTAGAATTCTTTCCCTTTTTCATTTGCAGTTCATTCTGAGTGACTGCTGTCATCAGTCTCAAACCTGATTTTCCCAAGAGTACAGGCTCATATTTTAAATCTCTCTCTCTCTGTGTGTGTATCCTCTCAGTGGAACTGTTCTGCATTTTTTAGGCAGTGCTAGTGGAGTTCAAACTGGTTCTTGCTTAATTTGAGATAGGACCAAGCTTTTTTATTCTACTGGGAAACTATTGTCACCATCTCATAACAAGGTGGCCTCTGGCCCCACACATATCTGAAGGATTGCTATTTTGGCACAAGCACAAGTTGCCACACTCATGGGCACAATTGCAGGTGATCTGATAGCACCTTTCCTTGCTGAATTGTCAGCAGATCCTTGAAAATGAGGCAACCCACTGGTAGCACAGTAGCAAATTGCTCTGTAAGTAAAGCAAGCAAGCATCTCCCCCACCAGAATTTATTTGTTGCTTGTAGTGCTGTATGGCTCACTTGTACCTGCGGTTGTTTGTAGCTTGTAGCTGGCATTCTTCATCAGAGAGATTCAAGATGCATATGCCCCCTGTTAGAGATGTACCTAATAGACATCCAGCATTTCCCCCAAAAGCAAAACACTGCTTTACTGGGGGCAGGTGTTAAGTTGTGGGTGAACATATCAGACGACACAGCGATTCTTCAAACAGCTCTTGTTTATTCACAGGCCAGGACAGAACTGAACTGAAGGGTTCAGTCAACCTGCTCCAGTACAATGTAACTGTAACAATTTTCTAAAACTATCCAATCACTGAACGTCACTTTCGATCCCTTATTTGCATAACTATCTACAGTATCCCCCTGCTGGCCCAGGGTGTGAACTTCAGTACATAACAGCAGGTACCAGAAAACCCTGTTCCTGCCTTTGGTGGGGGCAGGTTTTCTCTACCCTTCCTAGTGGGAAATAGACTCAAGGTGGTCTCTGCATCTGTGAGCCATCTCTGAGCTGGAGGCTTAGGCTTTCCTTGGGGACTGGCCTGCACATCATGGAAAATTCTGGACAGCAGGGCCCAGGTACATAAGCTGGGGTATAATTTACCCAAGGCTCACTTTAGCAAGTTCTTGGCTGTGGAGTAATAATGTGCCAGCTTACATGCCCAGGGATTGGGGGAGGATGCTTCCTCATATGTCATTAATGATTCCCCCTGTCTGCACTATTGATTATATTCTCCTGCCCTGCTCACCTGGACACTGACAGCTAATCCAGGATCTTTATAAATAGACTACAAACTCCATTTCCCCATGCATAAACAATAGCTAGTAGGGGAATGTAGCCCCCCCCAAAGGAAATTCTCAAACTGATCCACTTATGGCCCATTTTTAGCAGATAAACACACCTGTAAATATTGACCTGAAGGGGTGGGGACAGTTAGGTATCTTGCTTGTTGGGCCGAAAACATTCCCCATCCCTGATTCATCTCTTCTGAAGTTCAAAAAAGCTGCTGGTCTAATCATCAGGGATTCAGGCAGGACTATATGCATATTGGCTATGTTCCTGTTTACAAATCAATCCCCAATTAGTTTTGCGTGAGAAATTCTGTAGGCAGCAAGTATTACCCACTTGTCTCATTCTGCAAAAAAGAAGAAGAGGTTTTGGCTGTAACAAGAGGAGTTTTGTGTAGAAATTTCTCCTGCACTTTGATGCTTGTCACCATTTGGAGTATTTGACTGTACAGGTTGTTAATCTAAATAATGGCTTTTTAATACTAGCACAACTTTCACAGTTCTTTGTATCTGAAGACTTCTCACATCTAAATTGTTCTGCACAGCAAGAACATGTCAGCATCTGCATTATTCATGAGTACAACAGTATTTTTAATTCTACAGAGCAATGACAACACATTGATTTCAGCTTGCATCATTCCCCTATGGGATTGCCTTATATTTACATTGCATCAGTTCCTGACATTAGCAATTCATGTGTGAGATTACACTTTCTGTCCGCATTGCCACCCTATTGCAATATGCCTAAGGTCCTTTATTGCTAAAAGTTTGCAGCAAAACAAAAAACAACAACACCAGAATCTTTGCTGTCCTTATGGGTGGAATCCAATTGGTACAGTTTTGCATGTAGAGGGACTTTGGATCCGGAGATCTCTGCTATAGCAGAAGAGGAGGGGAGGCCATTTTGATAATTTCCCCCTTTTTTCTGTAATCCCCCAAAGCTACCTTCTGCTCTGTTGTGGAGGGTCCCTTTCTGACTCTCTGGAGCTAATTTGGGGGTGGGGGGCTGGGAATTGCAGAGGGAGGGTGAACTGACAAAAAAAAAAATCCCCTTCCCCTTACAATAGCAGATGCTTCTGTTGAATCAGAAGGCCCTCTGTGAGCCCAAGGACAACAGCTGTAATCCACCCTGGGCATTTAAATATCTACGATGAAGGCCCAAGTTGAGCTTCTCACACTCAAAAGGTGACACTACCCAACATCAAATGGCATTTTGTTTTGTACTTACTGGGGAAGGAAGAAGATTAACTTTGAGTAAGTGTTAGGTTTTATATTTTAAAAAATGGTGGAATAGTTGTTATTGTTTCTTGTCCTTGCAGTGCTAAGCAGAACCCCAAATCTGTTAATCTAGTTAATGGTGTAATCTTATACATGTATATTCAAAAATGAGTCCCACCAGGTTCAAGGTCATTGAGTGTGGGGTTATACTCAATGGAAAGTCAATGAAATGGAATTCTGAGTGAACATGTATATGACTGTACTGTTAGTCTTTCTGATACTTTTCACATTACATCTTCAGACTTTTGCAAACTATACACTATGGGTTGTCTCCAACACTGTGCCTTCAGGATTCTGTTGGGCTTTCCCTTCCTTTCGTCTTCCTGCACAGCCTCAAAATCTGCTCTGAAGGGTCTTCCAGGCCTATGGAGAATATGGGGTGTGTGCATGGGAAGAGTAGGGGAAAGTTCCGTTGCAGAAGCAGAAATTTAAATAAATAAGCAGAAATCTGTGCTAGCAGAACAGCTACATTAGAGACAACTCTTTGAGGCTTCAACAACTTGCCCAGTGTTTATTATTTTCCTTCCTGCCCCCCCCAATTTTTAATATATATAAATCCATCCTGAAGAATTCTGTAGACTTCAAAAACTTGCTTACTATTTGTGATTGTTTTGTTGGTCCTAATATGGTACTAGCCTTAATGGCTTTGTGCAGCGGCGGGGGGGGGGGGAGAGAGTTGGGAGGGGAGACAGTATGAGTAAAAATGGCCTCCTATTATTCACCATATTATTTAGGGATGGTGCAGGCAGATCTTGCTCAGGGGTCAGGGGGAGAAGTTGAAATTCTCCAACATTCCTCAGAAAGTTCCAAGAAATTTCAGTTGAATGAAAATCTATTGTTACTACATATTAATAGA